AATTCGAATCATCAACATTATCTTATCAGAATAAAGTTTTCTCTTTTCCTCTCAGAATTGCTCTTTGTCCAAAAACCAAATGGAACAATCTGATTTATCTGCCAACACTGTGATAGATCATCCTCGAGCTCTCTCCGATAAAAGAACCCTAATTCGTGACGCGGGTCCTTCCAAATTCCAGGTCTTTCCCTTTCTCGGAATCTATGTCAAATTTTTCTCTTTTTTTTTACATAAAGCTTCACTTTTTCTCTTGTTTGGTTCTCTCTGCGAAGGTAATTGCAGATTTTGATGCGACTTTAACGAGATATCGAGTCAATGGACGTCGAGGCTTGAGTATGTTCATACACATTTATTCAAATCGTAATTTTCTCTTTTTCTCACTTAACCAAAATCTGTTTATATAGCCAGTCATGGCCTATTGCAGCAAGGAAACACAGATTATGATGCTAAGAGGGATGCATTATATGAACACTATCGTCCTCTGGAGATTTCTCCTTTGATTCCCATTGAAGAGAAAAGCAAACTCATGGAAGAATGGTTACCCTCTTATCTTATCAATCACAATTTTGGTTTTCTAATTGGAAAAATCTGACCTTTTTGATTGTTTGTTTGTGATGATGTTTATCAGGTGGAGTAAAACTCATGATCTTCTGATTGAGGGAGGTTTAACATATGATGCAATTAAGAAATCTGTTGAGAATTCTTCTATAGCTTTTAGGGAAGGTGTGATTGAATTGTTTGAATTTTTGGAGGTAATGGGATCAATATCATGATTACAGTTGTATATACTTATATATGGTGAAAGAAGTAGCTATTTAATGTATTAATCTAACTCTATTTTGCTTTGATTCAGAAGAAAGAGATTCCAGTTCTGATTTTTTCAGCAGGACTTGCTGATGTAATTGAAGAGGTGACTCTAAATTAGTTAATTAGATTTATCTCTTCGTATTTCTCTTGCCTCTATAATGAATATGCTTTTGCTATATTCTCAATTTCTTACCAGATTTTGAGGCAGAACCTTCGTAGAACATTCAAGAATGTAAAGATTGTATCGAACAGGATGGTTTTCGATGATGATGGACGGCTTGTGTCTTTCAAAGGTATATTTGGTTATGTTTTTTTTTATCTAAGCGCATTCTTCATATCACATTTGTGATGATTCTGCTGGAAAAAATGAAATCTAACTTTGTTATCTATCAATCAAATTTAGATCTTGCAATCGTAAACTAGTCTTTCATTTGGTCTCTGCAACTCGAAACAATGCAGGGAAGCTAATTCACGTGCTAAACAAGAACGAACACGCTTTGGACATGGCTGCTCCACTTCATGATCAGCTTGGTGGTGAGATTTGTGAGGAAGTCGAAGAATATGCATACGTGAAACAGCGAACAAACGTTTTGCTTCTAGGAGATCATTTGGGGGATCTGAGAATGTCTGATGGTTTGAGTTATGAGACTCGAATATCTATTGGATTTCTGTGAGTTTTTCTTTTCTTCTATATATATGCTTTTTTTGCTCTTTGTTTTGATCTCGACTCAATGTTTACTTTTCTATTCTACAGGAACGATAACATCGAAAAGAGTCTTGAAAGCTACCGTAAGGCCTTTGATCTTGTTTATCTCGTAAGTAGCATACGCATTTTATGTTTGAATATATTGATGATCTGAATCACTTTAGAATTGCTAATAAATATTTCATGTTTTGTGGGTCTTAAAAAGAATGATGCACCTATGTGGGGAGCTCTGGAACTTGTTTCTCAGTTATTCTCAACAGAAGCGAATTAGCTGCAAATTGCCTGCGACGAGCTACGTCAAGTGCAAGACTTTTCTTCTGTTCATGAAAACAATATTGTAAGTAGATTTCATGTGTCTCGCTCTAGATTATAGAAGAGCAAAGGACAATTTATTAATAAGAGTTATGGCTCTTAACAAATAAGAGAAGCTTGAAGCTTCAATTCAGGATTGTTTGTGATAAAATTAGTTAGAGAATTGTTTCTTTCTTTCTTTCTAGAATTGTGTTATTATTGTAATTTGATTTCATCGTTTTATTTTCCGGATGGTAAAACATATACAATCCCAAAATATTTGGAGTAACCAACAAACCATAAGTGAAATATTCCAAAAAAAAAAGTGAAGAAAATAAAAGGAGCAAATGGCACTAAAACCAGTAATGCTCTCTTTATGTAAGAGTGTATAAACTAGAGAACAAAATGTAATGTGTAGCATTTTGGACTCTCATCCAGAAACATCCTCTACTATAATTCAGTTACAAAGATATAAGGATAAGGGAGACACCGATATAGATCCCGAACATGAACATAAGCAAAAGCTAAACCATATTATATTCTAGCTTTTGATTCTTTCTCAGTCGTGAGTCACAAACGACTTCTGCTCGTAGTACTTTTTCTCACTAGCTTCCTTTTTCAAGTTACGTTTCTGTAAGAATACAGAAATGACTTTTGAGTGAGACCTCTGTCAAGAGT